AAATGTGACTTTTCCCACTTTTAAAATCATCAGTTTCTCATGGACATTATATCATCACAATCACCAGTAAACATCAGAATTTCAAGAACAATGCAGTTAATTTCTTGTGACAACCCTCAATTACATATTCTTGATTAAGCTTTAGATTGCAAATGTTATAAGAGGCACAAATATGTTTATTGGTTATTCATCGAGAAAAGACAATAAGTTTTCCCACACAGAATACGCCATTTTTTAGACTCACTATAAAACTATATGGTATTTTTGTGCCTTTATATGGAAAATCAACTCTGATTCATGATCACAAGAATTCATCATCAGTTTAAATGGATGGCTCTTTGCACATGTCACTGTTAAATGCTTAATATAAAACACTGTGAAGTTGTGTGTAATCCTTAACGTTGTCATCATTACTTGTGTCGGTTTCACTACTGCCACACAAAATTTCAGTAATAAACTAATTCAGCACTCACGTCATTCTTGAAAAGTCAGTCATCTTTAAATGACTGATGGGAATATTGGCATTTTTTCTGCCACAAAGAACATCTTGCATTTTCTGTAAGATTTTACCGCAAAGCAAGAGAATAAAATGTCCCATGTTATCTGCTTTGTTAGTTTGGCTTGGAATTTAACAGATGGTGCTCTTGTGCATAATGCTTCAAATTTATGCATCGATTTTGCATGATTAAACACTTCTGTGTTGTGGTAACTATGAAAACTTGAAGAGGTCTCCTGTGCTTTAGTTTTCAGAATATTGAAAATCAGGCAGTGTTCTTGATATACAAGTTGTCCCAAAAACCTGTATGCGCACATTCAGTGAATAAAATACATTTTAATAAACTAAACCATTGTATACATCAGCAATGGCACTTAGTGAATCTAGTGTAGGTTTTCAAAATGAAAACCTTTTGCTTTATGGCACAGTTGACAGCAGTGAGCAGTGACTAACAGACAGCCACCGAAGTTGTTGGCTTTGTGGGCAGCATGTGTATGTATACGAATGAGAGAAAGGTGAGTATAAAATTTCGGTTGTCCTTCTTTTGCAGTGAACTCCGAGAGTATTATGAGCAGTTGATGACGCTGGCTAGTCTTGGTGGGCCTTTATCAGGTCCTGGAGCTGGTAGTCCCAGAGATAGTAGCCCTGATGATGTTGGAGGTACAGGGGGGTACTGCCCTAGCTGTAGCTCTCGCAGGGGCTGTCCATGTGATGAGTGTCATCTCATGACCTGTGGTGGCCTCATCACACCACCCGACTCCCCAGGCCCACTCTACAGGTACTAGATGGTTGTGAACAAAAATTGTTTTGCTCCTTTTTGGATTATAATAGTCTGCATTTAGTTGGTTACCAACATTACAGAGGTTCCATTTGCTACCATCTTTATTTCTGCTCAGAAGATGGAGTAGATTGTTTCTTCCAAACTTTTTGTAATTACCTATGAAACTACATGGCTTTATAATCTAGAATAGCACAGTTGGAATTTTCGCTACTGTGAAAATCTAAAAAATCTTATATTTTCTTTCTTGTTACAGTCATAAAGTGGATGTCATACAAGAGTATCGCGTCGAGGGCGAGGGCAGTGAGCAGCCCCAAGAATCTCCATTAGAACCTGATGTTTTGGGTGAAGGTGCAATTGGAGGAGGAGGAGATACAGATGGCACAGAGTTAGCTTCAGCTCAGCAGCAGAGTTGCGAGTGTCATGTGTGTACTGCCCCACTCATGACTCCTGTAAGCATTGTGTTCGAGTGCAATCGATGTGTTCAGCTCCGGAGTTATAATAGTGATGTAGAAAATATCCCCTTTCACCACATAAATTTAATATTTGATTTTATATATATAATTTTTCAGTTTAGTTTTACTATTCAGTGTATTTCATGGCATATTGTGAATATGGAGATGCTCACT